GAATGAAGGGGAGTAAGTCGGAGGGAGAGACGAACCATGAGAGACGATGGACTCTGAAAAACAAACTGAGGGTTCTAGAGGGGAGGAGGGGAGGGGTTTGGGTTAGCCTGGTGATGGGTATTAAAGAGGGCACATTCTGCGTGGAGCACTGGGTGTTATGCACAAACAATGAATCATGGAACACTACTTCACAAACTAATGATGTAATATATGGTGATTAACATAACAATAAAAAAATTAAAAAAAATAAAAAATCTCTTGTGCTACATTTCTATCTTACCTATTTCAGATTATTGATTTTACACTGTTTTATTTTTTTTTCCTAATAAGAGCTGTGAGACTTTTGTGGAAAAATGTTGCCTTACTCAGTTTTATCGCAACGATGCCTGATATTTTTATTAGTAAATGATATTTTGGATTGAACTGAACTTTTGATCAAGATCTACTAATAATTAGACATTACTTATTGTGTGTGATGTTTTGATATGCCCAAATGGAGAAGGCTAACTCTGATATGTAAATCACATTCCTCATGCTAAAGAAGCTAACACTACATTTGGGTAAAAAATATCAGAAAGAAATTAAAATTGAAAAGACACCATAATTGTCAAATGAAATTGAACCCAAATAATCTGAAAGAGACAATATATTTTAGAGTAAATATTAAACATGGCACTTTCAAAGTATAATAAAAGGAAGTTTTATTCATGTAACTACTTTCAATTAAGACACTAAAGATCATTTTGAACAAAAATAAGAAAAATTTTATTAATAATTGTTGTAGTAGTAGTCAATTATTAATTGACTACATCGGAGCAATGATTCAAGTCGATGTCAGAAACTACTTTGGTCTAATTAGTACAATATATTTTTATTTTAAAATGCATTTTCATACTCAAAGTGGCTATTTATTAATTTCTCCAAAATTAATATCAAAGTAAGAAATGACCAGCATTGACATCAACATCAGTGAATAGAAACACAGTTTTCCTGTCATTTAAGTGAAGCAGCCCTTTATTCCTGCTTAATTCTGTGAGTCACCCACATACCAAATCTGTACACTGAAGGGACAATGAGCTGAAAGAAACGTAAGGTAAGCAGAATTTCAACTTACTTTGAAATGAGGCAAAATAGTGGCCCTTGATTGAAATATGCTCAGAGTAGTTGAGGAAGTAAGAAGGCATTCAAGTCAGCAATATACATAGCTGTAACAAGGAGCTAAGGAAAGCATATGACAATATCACAGGTGATAATCAATTTTTAATCAAGGTTCATCAAAGCCAATGAACTCATGCCAAAATTAATTTCATATATACCATGGGTATGTTAAATAAATTGTTTCAGAAAAGAGAAGTAATCAGTGACAGTCAGCTGGCCTATTGAGAGAAAAAAATGTTGGCACAAATGGAACTGAAGGAAAACAGAATTTGGATAATCAAAGAACAGCATGTGCATATACAACAAACGAAGGACTAGCTTGACAGAAGATACATGTACCCATGATGGGACTGATTTTGCAAAGTTTTGGAAGCCATTTGTTATTTTTCACTAAAATGTTATGGAAGAAATGTTAGCAAAATTAATTCTGGCAGCAAAATGCAAGATGGACTGATATATAGGCAGACTGGCACATAGACACACTGGCATATAGGCAAAAGAAGATGAATGAATAGAACTCATGCAATAATACAGAAGGAAACGAGGCAAAGTCAGTGCAACTGGAATGGGAAAACAGGGTAAATGGAAAGACTACCCAAATTAAGAAATTAGTGAATGAACACAACTGACAAAAGAAAAAGATGAGATTTAGAGAACTAAAGAGAGGGAAGAATCATAGATGCTTAAAAACATTTGCATTGTTGGGCGCCTGGGTGGCTCAGTTGGTTAAGCGACTGCCTTTGGCTAGGGCCATGATCCTGAGAGTCCCGGGATCGAGTCCCGAATCTGGCTCCTTGCTCGGCAGGGAGTCTGCTTCGCCCTCTGACCCTCCCCCCTCTCATGTGCTCACTCTCTTTCATTCTCTCTCTCTCAAATAAATAAATAAAATCTTAAAAAAAAAAAAAAACATTTGCATTGTTAAAATATAAAAATAAAAGCAGTATAATGAGTAGAATAGATAGGAAGGAGCATGATTTGTGGTAATTTAACAGATTAAGGTTTGTACCTATTGCACATAGGTTGACTAGAGACAAAAAATATAGTACTAAATTCTGAATTTGGAAAGTCTTCCTCATTTTTCACAATATGTTGAATGAAGATCACATAAAGTGAAAAAAACATGAGTTATTGAAATATTTTGGTATCTTGCTATACCTAAATTACTATTGTACAAAGACCTAATGTGATCTTAAGCATTTTTCCTAGAAATAAAAGTCTTGAGATAAAATTCTCAGGAAAAATAGAGTTAGAAACTTTTTTCTAAAAAAAATTGATAACATTGAGTATGATGACAACTTCATTTACTTTAAACAATGCCAAAGTAGTGTCTGAATTTTTAAAGCATGCGCTGGAAATTTACTGATATCCATTGCTGTATCTACTAACTACATGACTGGTCTTTCTTCCTTTTGTATTTTTTTTTTAATTTGTTTATTCTCTTAAAGGTTTTACTTATTTGAGAAAGAGAGAGAGAGAGGATGAGCAGGGGGGAGGGGTAGAAGGAGAGGGAGAAGCAGACTCCCCACCGAACAGGAAGCCCGATTTGGGACTCGATCCCAGGGCCCTGGGATCATGACCTGAGCCAAAGGCAATTGCTTAACTGATGGGGCCACCCAGGTGCCCATCTTTCCTCCTTTTTTAAATTGAAGCCTTGAAGATATGGTTGAAGAAAAGATTATTTATTTGAACTAATGATTTTACAGGAGCAACACATAACAATAAATTTCACAAACAGAAGCCATTAGTCAGGATTAATTTGGGAGGACTCATGGACCCATTACTCAATTTTACGTATGTTAAAAGAAATTTGGATTTTATAATGAAAATCACGCTCCGGTTTTAGTGTTTTGTTTTGTTTTGTTTTGTTTTTATGTATTACTAACTGCTAGAGTATCATTATATTATGAAGGAGAAATATATTTTTTCTGGTTCTTACATTAGAAAAAATGCCACTGTGGGGACTCACTAATTTAGCTTTAAGTCTTGTTATTTAGTATAGTTCACAGAGCAACAGAATTTGCATCACTCAGGAGCTTATTAGATATGGAATTTCCAGTCCATTCCAAGTCTCTGAATCAGAATCTGCTTTCACACAAGATCCCCAGGCGATTCCTATGTCCATTAAAGTTTGAAAAGCACTAAATTAACCTTATATAAACTGATCCACCCAATTCCATTTGGCGGGTAACAATCCTTGAGTTATGATACACATTTGAAGGTTTTATGAGAATGATGTTAAGGAACTTATTTAATGCTGGGGGAAATAAAACCATTATTACTGAAAACCTAGGACTGTCAGATACTGTGTTAGACATTTCCAAATCTATTAATTCATTTAATTCTTAACAATATTCTCGGAGTACATGAATACTTCATGTCTCTGGGCATGAAAAACAGCCTCAGGTTAAATACCACATCTAGTCTACAATCAATAAATTGAATAAGTATTGAGCAACCCATTTCTGAAAGTCCCTGGGTTAGGCCTAGAAATAAAATGGGCATGGCCCCCTACTGTCATGGAATTACGAGGGTAGTGTGAGTTTCTAAGAGGGAAATCTAAACTTTCTTGCGTTACTTAGGGAAAACTTCTATTTGGAAAGAGTATTTAAACTGATTTCTGAGAAGCACATTTTTGTAAAGGTGGCCCTGAAAAAAAAAAAAAAAAAAAAAAGGCGAGTCTGTCATGGATTTTAGTAAGGGGAACCAAGCAGCAAGTTGAGGCTGGAACTTCGCAGGAATACTGCAGAACTTTGTAGCACAAGGTGAGGCTGTTGGGCCTCATCCACGACTCAAAGGAAGCCATTGGAGGATCATAAGCAAGGAAGTGACAAGCCCTGATCCACGTTTGGAAAAGATCCTTCAGTGAGACCTGTGCAAAGCCCTGCGGGCGGGTGGGTTTATTAGGGCCACTCCCCTAGTCAGCCTTTCTCCACCCAAGTCACCGCCTCCTGCTTCTCAGCGTAACTGTCTGAGGGAGGTGGGAAATGCATGAGAGGGGCGGGGGGAAGAAAAACATTCTCAAAAAATATTAAAAAGAAAACATCCCACTTGGCAGCGGGTGCGCGGGAAGTTCAGCGCGCGAGTTCCGGGTTTCCCGCCAGCCGCCAGCCCGCCCCCCCGCCGGCCGCAGCCCGGGTGAGCCCCCAGCCCCAGCTCGGCCGCAGCCTGCTGGGCCGCCTCCGTCGGTCGGTCCGCTCCCCCTCCCCCCACCCGCCCATCCTCAGGCGCCGCGCGGGGCCGGCCGCGCCGAGAGTGGCCGGGGTTCGTCAGGGCGCCCGCAGCCCGCGTTGGCCCCGGTCGCGCCTCGGCGGCGGGGCTTCCACTACTCGGCCCCGGGCGGGTTCGGGTCTCGCCGGGGCCCTGCGCCCTCCGCCCACACTGCGCGGCCGGAGCAGCAGCCTCTAACGCCACTTGTGGAGTTCTTCCCCCAGCGGCGGTAACTTTACACCAGCCTGAGAGAGGCCTATTTTTATTCAGAAACCAGCAACCAGAGTGTACGTAGAGAACGCTCAGATGGAGGGCCAGCCCACCCCTTGAAGATTTCTCACAGATCGGTGGGGAAGGAACGTCTTGCCCTACTAGCCTTTCTTTGAGATTTCAATATTCTGCGGCCGTCCTACAATTAGAGCGGAATTGGTTGCTCGCGGGGGCGGGGAGCTTTTTGATAAGCTGTTGCCCTAACCTGGCGGAGCGGACGCTGAACCCCACCTCTTCTCGGCCTCTAAGCCCTGATCCTGAGGCCGTCACGCAAAAGCCCGGCCCAAACCGTGGCCTGGTCACCTTCCTGCTGGAATCGTTCCAAGAGCTGTAGGGACGGGCTCACGGTGGGGAGGAGCAAAGAGATGAATGTAGCAGCCAAGTACCGCCAGGCATCCCTGTATGTGGGTGATCTCAATGCAGATGTCACCGAGGACCTGCTGTTCAAAAAGTTCAGCACTGTGGGGCCTGTGCTGTCCATCCGCATCTGCAGGGACCTGGTCACCCGCCGCTCCCTGGGCTATGCCTACGTGAACTTTCTGAAGCTGGCTGATGCCCAGAAGGCCCTGGACACAATGAACTTTGACATGATAAAAGGCAAACCCATCCGTCTCATGTGGTCTCAACGTGATGCCTACTTAAGGAAATCTGGCATTGGGAACGTGTTCATCAAGAATCTGGACAAATCTATTGATAACAAAACCCTTTATGAACATTTTTCAGCTTTTGGGAAGATCCTGTCCTCCAAGGTGATGAGTGATGATCACGGCTCTAGGGGCTATGCATTTGTGCACTTCCAGAACCAGATCGCGGCCGACAAGGCCATCGAGGAGATGAATGGGGCCCTGCTTAAGGACTGCAGGCTGTTTGTTGGCAGATTCAAAAACCGTAAAGATCGGGAAGCCGAGCTCCAAAACAAGGTCAATGAATTCACCAATGTTTACATCAAAAACTTTGGAGATGACATGGACGATGAGAGACTGAAGGAAGCTTTTAGTAAATATGGCAAAACCCTGAGTGTTAAGGTTATGACAGATTCCAGTGGGAAATCCAAAGGCTTTGGCTTTGTGAGTTTTGATAGCCATGAGGCTGCCAAAAAGGCTGTTGAAGAAATGAATGGAAAGGACATAAACGGACAGCTGCTTTTTGTAGGCCGGGCGCAGAAGAAATCAGAGCGGCAGGCTGAGTTAAAGCAAATGTTTGAGCAGCTGAAACAGGAAAGATTTCGGAGATGCCAGGGCATGAAGCTCTATATTAAGAACCTCGATGATACCATTGATGATGAAAAACTGTGGAGGGAATTTTCTTCGTTTGGGTCAATTAGCAGAGTCAAGATAATGCGGGAAGAAGGGCGAAGCAAAGGGTTTGGCTTGATCTGCTTCTCCTCTCCTGAGGAGGCCACTAAAGCAATGGATGAGATGAATGGCCGAATCTTGGGCTCTAAGCCACTCTGCGTTGCCCTGGCCCAGAGGCCCTAGGAGAGAAAAAATTCCTGCACCAGCCAGTGTTTGCAGCAGGCATGCGCATGATAGTGATCTCTGCCTTTGAATTATCCTCAGAAAATTTCAAATTCCAGCTGATGGCCGCTTAGTTTAGTAAACTTTGTGATAAAGGTTTTGTATACAAAGCTATTTTTTCTTGTGTGGAAAAATAAATGAATCTTGGAAGCTTGATTCATTTTACGGAGGCACATCTTCTAATTACAGTATTGTATATTTCTCTGATTTTGATTTAGTATTCAAAGCAATAAGTATAATTAGATATATTTTTATTACATTTTGAACCATCTGAAGTGAGGTAATTATTTGAGCTTATTTCATATTTTCTTTCTTATTTTAATAATATTGCTAGCTTTAATTTCTTCTATGAAAATATAAGCTAAAAATAGTTCTTATACCTAAGGATCACAAAGTATTTATTTTTACAAACAAAAATTTTCTAATTTCTCCTCTGAGCTTTTTAAAGAAACCAAAGGTTTAAGAATTGCTAGTATAAATTCAGTATCTAATTTCATTTTGAATTAATGTTTAAAGTACTAGGAAATAGTTGAATTTCTTTTGAATTTGTATCCTGACATGTTGTTTTTCTGATGGCTGAAATTAATGATGGAGGTTTTTAATGTTGCCTACAAACCTGACTTATAGGATATTTTGCTCTTCTTTCCATTGGTAGACTATATATAATTCATGTGCTTGCTAGTTATCAAAACTGGGACTTGAATAGTAAAACCTTAACTTCTATATTCCTTAAGTTATAAACTTTTATCAATAAGATGACAAAAAGTTGGCTTGGTCTTAATTCTCTTCATACCTATACAGGTTAGTATTAAGACTTAAGTTTCTACCAGACACCAATATTATAAAAGTCATATATAGAGAATATAGAAATTCTGTTTAACAATTCTTTTTCAATCTCTATTTTATATTGTTCGATGTAATGATATTATCTCAGGGTTCAGAAAAGTATGTTTCTTTATTTTTATGAACTCATCTCTTTTTATTAGAATACAAGAGATACCTAACCCATTAAGATTCAGTTTTAGCCTCAATTTATCAGAAGCTCGCTAATTTTCTGATAAATTGAAATTACATCAATTTGCCTGTTTTCTAGAATAATATTTTAGTCCCATTGCAGACCTCCCTCCCTCTCCTACCCTTGATCTATATTACTCAACTTTGTTTTATACTTTTTTAAAAAGGGTTTTATTATATTGATTTTTACTATATGCTATTTGAAATCCACCTTGGAAACAGAGACAAGAGTTATTCATTTACATTTAAATAATTACTTTTAAAATTCTGTTTTACCAGAGGTGTCTGGAGAATAGCTTTGCTGTTCTTGTTGTTGCTATTTTATTTTATTTTTATTTTTTTCTCTGCTTAGAGGTTTCCTGTAACCATATATTAAAGTCTTCTGTTTCTTATATTACCAGTACAAAAGATATATTAAAAGATTTTCTTTGGCAATACTTTAGCTATGAAAGAATGAGAAAATCTGTTTCTGTTTATTTTTGTATAGACTATATGTTTATTCGTGGCACATTTTCTAAATTAAAAGTCTTTTAGACAATGAAAACATTATGGACAATGAAAAACTTAGAGCAACATAAAATACTATTATGCAGACATATCCTCCCAATTTTTTTATACATATATACATAGATAATTTAACAAAAATTGAATCATTGTAAGCTTATTACAAATTATTTTTTTAATTTTATAATATGCCATACCAATTTCCATATCCACAAATAATTATTTGCGTTATAATTTTAATGAATTTTATTCCTTCAGTGTTTGTACTATAATATAATGAATTTCCTCTTGATATGGATAAAGGTTGTTAGATTGTTTCCTCCCCTTTTTTTCTTCTGTCATAAACAACTTGAAGATAAACATCCTTGCAAATTTCTGTATGCTGATATATCCAGTTATTTTCTTAAGAAAATGTATAATTCATTGGAATTAATGTTTAAAAGGGCAATAATTTTAAAAATAATTTTGATAAATATTGCCCAAATGCTCTCCAGGAAACTTGTGCCATTTCCATTTCCATTATTGGTGTGGAGGGCTGCCCATTTCCATATACCCCAAGAACAAGAGATTATTTTGTTTAAGTTGTTAGCCAATTCAAAATGATATGTAAAACAAAATATTTCATGGTTACTTTTTTTTTATTAGTACAAAAGTTAAATAGCATTTCTTGTGTTTGTTGACCATCTGTGTCTTCATATTTATGAATTAATGTTTCATGATCTTCATCTGTTTTCCTTCTGGGTTGTTTTTTATTTGTACAGATTTGTTACATTTCTTTACGTATTAAGAACAAAAGTTTAGACTTTTTTTCCCCAATATTCTCACTTTGTTTTTAGTTTTGAGGGTCATTCCAAAGTTAAATTTAAACTCAGAAATTTCAGTCCTTTACTTAGAAGGCTTTAATGTTATGATTCAAAACACTTTGAACAACTCAAATACACACACACACACACGCACAATTAATCTGTATTGTCTTCTACTACTTTCAGAGTTTTATATTCTCAATAATTTATTTTTTTTAAGATTTTATTTATTTATTTGAGAGAGAGAGAATGAGAGCCAGAGAGCATGAGAGGGAAGAGGGTCAGAGGGAGAAGCAGACTCCCTGCTGAGCAGGGAGACCGATGTGGGACTTGATCCCGGGACTCCGGGATCATGACCTGAGCCGAAGGCAGTCGCTTAACCAACTGAGCCACCCAGGTGCCCCTATATTCTCAATAATTTCTAAGCAAAACTTTTGTCTGTGGAGTATCTTATCCACAGCTATAGTAAATCTCTTAAAAGTATCTTGCATTTCAAGCTTTATTAATATGTTTGGTAAATACCTACCTCCTGTAAGAATCTGTGTGAGATTCATATGCCAACTTGAATATATTGGGCCTTTGAATCACTGTGTTGAGAAGTATTTACCTCAAAAGCAGAGAGTTTTTAAGAAGACTGGGCAATAGGACTGGGAAGTGTAGTAGGTGCGTCAAGCCTTGACATCTCTTTCTGGCTAAGCCAGTCTATCAGAGTGTTCAAATATTTGAACAATATTTCATAATGCTTGTAAATGGATTGTTAAGATAATATCAGGGAACTGAGTTCTTTGCTATGTGCACAAGGAATTAATAAGACATAATATCAAATGTCTAGATGAATTATAGCTGTAGCTTCATGACACAATATTCTATCATTTTAGTAGAAATTGCTTATTTTTATATTTACCATAAGAAATGACAAAGTCACTTTATAAAAGTATATAATCCTGTGGATTTTCTTGATTAATTTATTCGAATTTTGCTCATTTTCAATTTTGTATGTGTGATAATATCAAGTCATCCTAGTTGGCAGTACAAGTTCATTCTTTGAAGAAAATTGAATCATTATGCCCAAGTGCCTTGATAAATAAGAAGAATCTTTACTTTTCTGGTAAGCATTCCAGTAAGAGCTAATTTACATAGGTACCTTGAGCCACTGCTTCTATTCTTGCCTTCCTCTACCTACAGGTACTGCCAAGTTTGTTGTAGATACCTGCTGGCATGCACCGCCAATTCAATAAATGTGCCTTCTAACATTTACCTAAAAATATAAAATTTCTAAATATTTTTAAATTTTTAAATGAAAATCTTTAGTTAGCAAAAATAAACATTTTAAAGTGGTTTAGAATTGGTAATTTCAGGGTGCCTGGGTGGCTCAGTCTTTAAGCATCTGCCTTCGGCTGAGGTCATGGTCCCAGGGCCCTGGGATCAAGCCCCACATTGGGGCTGGAGGGAAGCCTGCTTCTCCCTCTCCCACTCCCCCTGCTTGTGTTCCCTCTCTCACTGTGTCTCTCTCTGTCAAATAAGTAAAATTAAAAAAAAAAAGGTAATTTCATGTTCTCAATATTTTTTTATAAACCCATTGAGAAAAGATCAAATAAGGTTTAATCTTGCAATGGTAAAGACATGTCTGAAAATGATGTTTTAGTTATTTTTTAAGTATTTCTAATTTTCTAAAGATCGGTTTGTCTTAGGAATAAACTGAAAACAACTTGCATTTTTAAATCAAGATATTCTTATTTCATGTTTTAAAACGCCAACTTCCTTATGAACTAATATTTCTTTTACAGTCACTCATAATTATGGGACCTTGATTGAAAAGAGCCACTAATATAGATCAAGTTTTCATGAGGAATAATTGACTATTTTTTTTAAAAGATTTTATTTATGTATTTGACAAGAAGAGAGCACAAGCAAGGGGAGCGGGAGAGGAAGAAGAAGGTTCCTTGCTGAGCTGGGAACCCAACGCCGGGCTCGATCCCAGAACCCTGAGATCATGACCCAAGCCCAAGACAGACGCCTAACTGACTGAGCCACGCAGGCGCCTCAATAACTGACTATTTTTAAAACACTTCTGCATTTAATTGTTAAAGTAAAATTCAGCTAACATGTTGAGGATTTAAAATTAGCTTACTTGTATTTGGAAAATATGCCTCCTAATGTAATTAAAAAATAAAATAAAAACAGTAGATAAAAAAGATTTTTTTAATCTACATTTTTTTAATCTACTCTAAAGAGTAGAACAAATTAAATATCCTTATGATATCTTTGGCTAACAGAAAATTCCAATTCACACTAGAAAAGGAAATTTTATCTAACAAAATATTCAGAGTTTAAATATTTTCAGGCATAGTATACTAAGACTTCTGTAACACTTTGGAGTCTCTTGGCTCTTCCTCCCCACCCCACCCCCATATCTCAGCTTTATTATCCGGCAAGTGGATGGCTGTAGGAATTCCTGTCATCATACTGAGACACAACAACATTCAGAAGGTGATATCTTTCCTAGAAACCTTTTAACAACTCTGCCTCAGTTCTTATTGTCCATTATTGGTATAGAGATTAAACAAGATCTGCCACTAGAATTGAAGAAGTAATCAACTTTCTAAGTTCTGGGCAGAATACACTTATGACAGGAAAATAGAAGAGTAAAAATGGATGTAGGCATATGCATCCACTAAACCCTGGATATTTTTTACTTATATCTAATTTTGGAAATTCAGTACTTATTTGATATTTTCTTCCTTCTTTTAACTTGTGCTTCCAAACAGTTCTTAAAATTCCATTTTCTCCCTACAAATAGTTTTGACATGAGTCAAAAGGTGATTTTTTTCTACCTCAAATTGAACAGTCTTAAAGGACAAATTATGCAATGTGTTCTGTATAAAATTAAATTCATTTTTGTTTGGTAACAGGACTCGTGTTTCTACATATCAAACTCTATTAGGTCTAAATTAGGCATCTGCTGAAAATTCTAACTGAAAATGTTAGATTCAATTTAGTCACCCAAGTGGGTTTCCACCAAAAATAATTGTCAAGAGATTACAATTGGTTTCTTACAGTAATACTTGAAAATTAATCTACATCTAATAGGTATTGGTTTCTTGAGTTTTACTATAAAGTACTCTAAGCTAAATATGTTTTCATGCATGCTAACATTTTAGAACCATACCACCAGAGAGAAGAGAC